TTACCTAGAAATGGTCAAGAGCTATATCATTACTGTTGCTAGCAGATGTGCAAATTACCTGACAATACTGTATGTTAAATATGCCTTCAGTAGTATTACACCTGCTTTCAGTGTTACGTGCATAGGCCACATCTTTGACCATCTTTCGACATGCCATCTCTTGACATGCTATGTAACCTGGCCTACATATACGTCAAAAATGTAAGCACAACGGCCTTCTTTATGGTTGAACCCAATTTTTAGTCATGAAAGATGGGTTTATTTGACACCAGAATAAGGCTAGGACTATCAAGAAGTCGCTCTGTGAGAAAGAAATTGACTATTTTGAATGTTTACATATTTTGCATATTAAAAATGGTAGGGACCTAATTCTACCGGAAGTCACATTGAGAGCCAATTGACTACACTCGAATTGTTTGATTTATCCCATAAATCAGGAAACATACAAAGTCCACAATCTTCTTCAGCCATTAAATTTTGAGGTCAGTTGTTATCATTTATTTGCCATTTCGTCCGCTAATAACTGGAAACAATGGCTAATTTCACAGTAAAACGGTCTTTCAGCCATTTACATAGCATGTTAAGAGGGATGGTCGAAAGATGTCGCCTATGCATGTAACACTGAAAGCGGGTGTAAATCACTTACTTGTTTAGATCATACTGAACATCTCCCAGTGGAGTCTTGATTGTTCCTGAAACACTGGGCACTGGCAAGTCATTGAGCTCCCTGGACACAAATGGAAGTATAATGTGCTGAACTGATGAAGGCAGAAAAAAAATTAAGCGATAATAAGTATGACAGATATGTTGGCTTAATCATTAAGACACTAACCAGCAATAAAACATACTGTAAAATCCCACATTAAAGCCCCTCAGATATAAGGCTCCCCAGTTGTAGGCCCCCTGGATATATGCCCTTCTATTTGCTAACAAAGATATTACTCCAGATATAAGCCCCCCGAATTTAAGCCCATCTTATTTATAAGTGCATTCCTTTTGCGTTTTATAGATGTATTACAAATGTCATAGCTCTAAATGTAATGGTATGTTAGCTTTAATTCATTTCTCAGATAAATTTTATCTTGTCGCTGCAAAACATATAAGAAGAATTTCTGGTTATATGCCTCCTAGACATAAGCCCCTTCTCTCCCCCCCACCCGATGTTTATAAGCCCACCCAAAACCCCTTATGAACTTTTATAAGCCCAGAGCTTTAACATGGGATTTTACAGTACTTGAAAATAATAGTTGAGGCTAAATATCATAATTTCATCTGGGGTTTCCTCCAAAATCAACCAAAATTTCAATATCAGCATCTCCATCGTATAATCCTACAGAACTCATTTATGCTCCTTCCATAATTACTCTGGCTAGCCTGATGATATGTCATTTTCAACACAAACCATACAAACTCACAGATATGTCGCAATTACTGCACAGGGTAACCTGAACTGCTCTTGCTCTGCTAGAATACTATAGTAGGGGTGATGAATGACCAGAAAAACCCGGGACACACTAGTATCCCCCAAGACAAAAGAAACACACCAAAGAAAGACTTCAGGACTTATCACAAAGGCTTCCAAGTTTTCAAGACTGAATCAAAAGTTTCCAAGACTCAAAATTTCTCAGTACCGTTTGTCAGCCCTACTGGGACCACTGTAACATTACTATAATATATAATAACAAATACACACGTTTACCAATAATGGTCTAAATTTCTTGTTTCCTTGACCTCCTACAAGCAATTAATATCACGAACCAGAGTACTTTGAATAGTAGCACATAGTCTAATGGGCTTGGATCCCACAGAATCTCAAAAGTTTTTTTTCTAAAAGCAAAACTAATAATTTTTAAAAGTTTTGGGCCACATTGCCGGTTAATTTGAAATAAGAGTCTAAGCATCTCACAAAATCTTGGATTTTACTTACCTGGCAAACTACCTCAAGTATCAAAATAATGATTCTCTGTTCAATGAATTTTTCAAGAAATATGTTGTTTCTTCTTTGGCTAGGATTTTACAAATTGTTGCCAGTTTAAGGCCACTGTGTTCTGATACTGTGTTGGAAAAATATAGTAATAATTAAGTTTTACCCACCCTGGGTGCCAGAGGGTTTTTTCTTTCGTAGCAAAGTGATCGTGGCTTCGCCACTCACAATCACCGCTTTGCTACGAAAAAAAACACCCCCTGGCACCCAGGGTAAGTTTTAACAGGTTTGAGTGAAAAACACTTTTGGATATAAAAAATTCTGATTGAGCTCATTTCTTAAGTATTTCAAGAAAAGTTTTAGTTTTCTTCTGGGAGAAGCTTCCAGTCCACCTCTCAAAATTAATGTTATTTTATCATTATGCCTCAACTGAAGAATGGTTCCATCTGATCAAGGAAAGTACAGTTCTTATCCTAAAATTAAATTGAAACACTGACTCGGACTAGATGCTGTTCAACAGAAACATAAAAACAAGGTGACTAATTAACTACCTGCTGAGAATTAACAAGCCACCCAGTGAGTTCTACATTCAACATTCCCTCCAAATTAACTGTATAAATAAATACATGTAGCTTAGCTAGTTTAGAGCTCCCTAAAGAGGCACACCGCTGCACGAAAAATGACCAAATTAACTTGTCTTTATATCACACACACCTAGGCCTCTGGGTGCATTACAACGCAAGCTAAAAACATTATAACCCACCGATGGACTTACAAAAAAGGATTTAGATCAGTGATTGGGAAGTATCTCTTCTACATGTAAGTAAGCATAAAATAAGCCACCGTAGCTTACCCTCTGTAATCACATAACTGGCTTACACCAGCCCGTAACGTCAAGCTTAGACAGATAGACAGCGTAAAAAGCAAACGTCTCAGTTTAATTACGTACCGTAGTCCGACGCCCTTTGTGTTATTTCTCTTTTCCATTCAGGAGCCAAGTTCAAATTAACGACGACCGATTTACCCGTTGAATATTCAACACACAAAAGAGCAAACAAAGACAACAGGAGCATTCGTTTGATCTTGTTTTCGGCCATATTTGCCGTTCGAACAAATGTAATTTCCACTTCAAGATCACGTCATGTTACCGACAGTTTGCTAGGAAGCTTTTCAGCTTGAAGGGTTCATCAAAAATGCATTTTATAAACATTTTCATAGTGGTTGAACATATCTGACGGGTACCTGATCCGGCCATCTTGGTTTCACATTCTCGTCCCCATAGCCCTTTTCGCTTCTCTTAGCCGGCAGGGCCTTGGCACGAGAATCGATTCTCGTGCCAAGGCTCCGCCGGCTAAGAGAAGCGAAAAGGGCTATGGGGACGAGAATGA